CCCCGCCGTGGCCCCCGCTGCCGGGGCGGGGCCGCGCGCGGCCCACACGGCCAAGCGCGTCCGAGCGCCGCAACCCGGGCGAACAACGGCGCGCGCCGCATCACGTATCCGTTGCGACGGCCACCTCCATCGAGCTGAGGTCCCGCCCCGCCATCGCCGCCTTAAACGCGGCGAGGTTCAGGCCGTGCGGCGCACCGGCGCCCTCGAAGCCGCGGGTCGTGAGAGTGTCGATGTCCTCATCTGTGAGGGTGCTGCCCGCCAGCTGCCGCAGCATCACGTGCATGTCATCTCGGGACACCAGGCCTGGGCGGGCCCCCGCGGGTGTTGCAGGTTGCGTGGATGTGACCGTGTTTGCGTTGGTGTGGGTGTGTGGGTAAGTGCATGTGTTTGTGTGTGTGGGTGTGCGGAGGTGTCTGACAGAGAGTGTGTGTGTGTATGCGCGTGTAAGCGTGCGCGTGTGTGTGTGCATGGCTGCACAGCTTTGGCGTGACCGCAACCCTTGCAGCCAATCAAGCGTCCAATGCCCATCTTGCCCGCAAACGAAGGCCACCACACATAGGGCGTCCAGCCGTCCAAAGGCGCTCACCATCCCCATCCACATCAAACACAGTAAAAAGGAAGGTCAGCTTGTCGTCTTTGGTGACACGTGATGTGAAGGGCGCCAGCAGTTTGACAAACTCGAGAAAGTTGACGCTCTCGAAGCTGCAGGGCAGGGCAGGGTGTGCATGTGTGTGTGTGTGTGTGTGTGTGTGTGTGTGTCTGTGTCTGTGAGTGTTTTGTGCATGTGTGTGTGAGTGCGTGTGCCCATGTGATAAGTATATGTGTGTGTGCGTGTGTATTTGTATGAGTGTGTGTGCGCATGTGTATGTTTGCATGAGAGAGAGAGAGTGTGTGTGTGTGCGTGTGTGTGTGTGTGTGTGTGTGTGTGTGTGTCTGCACACGAGAGGGCATGCGCGCATGTGTATGTCTCGCAAGCGCGTGCTGCTGTGTGCGGCGCAGCCGCAAGCTTGAGCTTTTGCAGGGCCCAGCGGCCGCCGGCGAGCCCCGAGCCCATAGCACCCCGCGCCCCTGCCCCCTGCCCGTCCGCCCGACCCGCGGCAGCACTAAAAGCCCCTCGGCGACGAGCGGCGCGCGGGCCGGGCCGCTCACAGCCGCACGACGCGATTGGCCAGGGGGTTGATGGAGAGCTCTGGGATTGCCAGGAACTCCTCGGCGCTGATGTAGCCTTTGAGGCCGCGGTCCAGTGATCTGAATCTCCGATACAGGGCCTCCACCTCTGGTTGTGTGACTGCGTGGGGTGGCCGGTGACCCAGCGCTTGAGTGACCAACAGCGCAGGTTGGGACCCCGGGCTCACGGCCGCCGGCGCTGCGCTGCCGCACGGTCCAAGGTGCAAGCTCTTCGCAGCTCCGCCAAGCACACGACTCCCGGCACGCACGGCTGCGATGGCAAGCATCTGCAGCAGCCCTGCGGTGCGCTGTGGGGCACCCGGCTGTACGCGTGTCCGGCGAGTCGCCGACGCGCTGTTAGTTTGATCCCTAAGAACCCCCTCCTCACACGCGCCCTTGCAGGCGCTGATGACCTCGTCCACGTCGTTCTGCGTGAGGCCGCCGCTGATGGCCTGCTCATGTTGAAAGTGGGGGAGCAAGGGCGGACGGGTCGACAGCAGCACAAGCAGCACGGCGCCGCTGCAATGACTCGTGCCGCGCCGCGACGGTCCAGTGTGGTGCAAAGCGTGGCAGCCATCTCTGTGCCACCGTTCTGCAACGCAGTCCTGCCTCCCACCTGTCCCATCTTGGCGACGTGCAGCTGCTCGCTGTGGGATCCCTCGTGCAACACGCCGATCTGTCACAACCGGTGATACAGGCAAGAAGGGAGATGCTTCATTGCATGAACCGGCGTACGACAATAACAACGACTCATCATAGTCTGATCTGGTTTGTTTGGGTTACACCCACCGTTACGCCCACCGCAGTGCACCACACCGACACCGCGAACACCGACGACCACACTCAAAGATGTCACAGCATATACTGCTGGCTCTCTGGCTCCTGATGGCATGCGGTGCTCGCGGCGATGCAGTCGGCGGGGCGAAGGCGACCGCTGGCGCCCCCGGCGCTCGCAATTGCACCCCGCCCCACCCGCCATCCGACTCCCTGCGGCCCTTCTGCGCGGTGCCCACGACCGTCAGCCCCGAAGCTCAGCAGTTCCTGAAGAACTCGTCCGCCGGCGCGTTTGCTTCCCTCGGCAAGATGGACACGCCGGCCGCCGCCGCCAAGGTGGATAGCCCGTGCTGCAGCGGGCTCCCGCCTACCTGGCCAGCGCGCGACGCCGAACGCACCCCTGCTCACGCCTCTGCGCTCCAGCCCTCAGTCCTGCCCCTGGAGGGTCCAAATACATACGCCGAGCACTGCACGTCCTCACAGCTGTCGCCCCAAGCCCCGCCTCGCATACGCACGGCAATGCCCTTGTCGAACCGCATGCACCGCCATGCGACACCGTGCGAGCGCAAAACCAAGGCACAAGCTACGCATCCCCAACCTACCCGCAGATCCACAAGATGTTCACCGACTCGATGCGGCCCGGCGCCGAGCAAGACTTCAAGCGCCTCTTCTCCAGCGCCGAAAACCTCACCCTTGCCGGCGTCCCCTCGGTCATCGCGACGCCGCTCGGCGCCGCCAAAGCCAACAAAACCGCCGGCGGCCCCGAGAAGCTGCTGCTGTACCTCCACGGCGGCGCCTTCTTCACCGGTTCCTGCTACATCCAATGGAGCACGGCCGGGCCCGTGGCCAAGCGGCTCGGCGTGAGGCAGCTGTGCGCGGAGTACCGACTGGCCCCAAAGCACCCCTTCCCCGCGGCCATCGACGACGCGGTGGCGGTCTACAAAGAGCTCCTCGCGCGCGCCGCCATGCGCGCCGCCGGCGGCGCCGCCGCCGCGGACATCGCTCTGCTCGGCGACTCGGCCGGCGGCGGGCTTGCGCTCGCGCTGCTGCTGCGGCTGCGCGCGCTGGGGCTGCCGTACCCGGCGGCGGTCGTCCTCTACTCCCCATGGGTCGAGCTCTCGCGCGTCGGTGACACCCAGACCACGCTCTCCGGCGTCGACCCTGTCCTGCAGTACGACTTTGGCCTGTCATCCCTCGCCCTGGCCTACGTCTCAGGCAACGCGTCAGCCCTGGCGGCGCCCCTGGTGTCGACGCTGCGCGCGGACTGGCGCAAGGAGAAGGTCGGGGCGCTGCCGCCGATCCTGCTGCAGGTCGGACTGCGGGACGTGCTGCTGTCGGACTGCGTCCGGCTGTACCGCAAGCTGGCGGCGGCCGGGCAGGCAGTACAGTTCTCGCCCTGGGAGGCGATGTGGCACGTGTTCCAGGTGGGGAGGGGATGTGGCTGTGTGTGTGTGTGTGTGTGTGTGTGTGTGTGTGTGTGTTTGTGTGGATGGGGCCGAGGGTGCGGCGTGGGCCGCTGCCTAGCTGGCTCGATCGCGAGCAGATGGGCAAAGCGGCGCCTGTGGAAATTTTTGCGCCTGGCAAGGGGATCGGATCCCGTGACAGCTGCGACAGATCCAGGAAGCAGCAGCTCTGCCAGTTGATCACACCCCTGCGATCGCAGCTGCCGCGCTCACCACCCGCTTTGACCCTTGCGGTATATGCCCGCGCGCCGCAGGCGTCCACGACGCTGCCCGAGGCGCTCGCGGCCGCGGATGAGGCGGCGGCGTTCCTCAGGCGCCACCTGTTCCGTTAGCGTTGGCCCGAACTGGAGGGGCGTCACCCGATGCCCCACAAGCCCTGTCCACTCATCTGTTGTGCTGGGCTTGATTTCGAGCCACTCCCCTTGGTGTTTATACAGGGTGGTGCTCCCGCAAGCCAAGGGGGTGATGGAGCTGTGGGTACCGGTGGGGAAAGACGACAACTTGGTTCCAGATTGATCAGGCTGTGACTGCAGTACGCGGCAAGCGCCGGGCGCAATAGACAGAGGGGCTGATTCATGCGGCCCCATCAAGGCGTGCTCGGAGCGGTTTTGACAACAGGCAATCTGTGCGGTGCTGGCATACTGAGATGCCCGCACCAACGCATCACATCCATTTGTTGGTCCCCAAGTATGGGCTTTTCTTTGATTAGTATCGGTTCCAGCGGGCTGCCATTGGGATGGAGGCGCCGCTGACACAGTTGGCTACTGATTTTTCCGTCTCAACTCATTCGTTTCAAAGCCGCCCAGGCCTGACCCGCCAACATTGTGTACGCAGCACAGGCCACACACATGAGCTCAGCCGGCGGAGGTTTTGACACAGCAAGTTCGTTGGCCATGGTGTTGCCGGACAGAGTTTGTTGCTTCCGGGGTGTTGGGTTTGCCTGGCGCTGATCCCGCTGCGGCGAGGGGCAGAGGGGAGGTGAACAGGATGTCAGCGCCTGCGGTCAACCCCTTTTGACGTGCGCCATGCTTGCTTCCCTGTAGGGTGGGGCATGCTTGGGTATGTGGTTTGGGGGGCTAATTTTCAGGGCCGGGGTCTGATTTGCGACGCGTCGTGCACATTCCTGGGGCGGACACATGGCTGGCGCAGTTGGCGCTTTTTTGGGGGCTGGGTGTGGTGTCTTTTGCTGCACTGCCAGGCTGACTTTGCCCCTTGGCTGTGGATAATTAGTTGGGCTTGTGCCCAACACCTCAGGTTGGGTTTTCCACCATCACGACCCCTGATGTCCTCAACCCATCACACTGCTTGGGGTTTTGCAGCCACCACGACTTGATCCGCCGCTTTTGCAAACCTATGGGCAGGTGGCATTGTGCTTTTGGGGGCTTGATCAAGCCGGCCGGACTTACTATTGGTGTCCTTTCTGAGCCTTCCCAGCAAGCTGTATCAGATCGCATTTGCAAACTTGATGATCACACTGTAATACACTGCACCCATCGGATTGAGCGGGCCCAGGTGTGCGAGGCTAGGCACAGCCAGTCAGATAGCTCGCACGACCCGCCCATCAGTAGCTCACGCCCTGCACGACGACATGCTGCCAAGGGTTAGTCTGTGAGACGACGAGGGTTTGCTCTTGGATACTCTTGCATTCCTTCGAGTTGCGTTGTGCATTTGAAATTGGCGAGGTGTTAAGGCGGCGGCAGGGCATAATTTAGCCAGTGGCCGTGAGGTTCGTTGGCCACGCCTGGCTCAATCTAATGCGCCGCTTCCTGGCGCTTGGCCCGGCTCCCTTGCTTTGTTAGCCGCCTGGGGTCCCCAGAACTCATCAATGGCCATGAACGATCTCTCAAGGAGGCTTGACAACCGCCCCTGCCATTGCTGTTCTGAAGCCCACCCCGCACTAGCCGGCTGCCCCGTTCCCAGCTGCAGGCGTACAGGCGCAGCCTGCGCTGCCCTCATCTCAGCAGGATGCGATTCATCATCTGGGGCCCTCAGAAACCCAACGTCAAACGCCTCCAAATGCGTCATCAGTGAGGCTCTTCATGCCTCATTGTCCTGAACCCTTAGCAGCGCTGTCGACGTGCCAGTCACCAGCACCTTGGACAATTCAAGCACAGATTTGGGGCTCCGATTACAAAGCTGCTGTGCACTCAAATCGTGGTGCGTCAGGGAAAACCGGGGTCAGGCCAAACCAGAGAACAAACAACCGCCGCCTACTCGGCCGCCGCGGCGCCGCTGCCGAGGATGACCTCCTCCATGCCCGGCTTGATCCAGACAATGCGGCCGCCCTCCTCGTACACGGGGTAGCGCGGCTTCTTGGTGGAGGCCGCCAGCTTGTCCGCGTTCTTCATGGCGCGCGTGTTGGCGGCCTGGGGGCGAGGGCAGCAGCGGGGGCAAGAAAGCAAGGTGGTCGGGCGCAGCCGCAGAGGGGAGTGCACGCAAGCACGCCAGCAGCGGCGAGACACGGGCCGCGCGCTCGAGGCCGCTCGGGAGCCAGAGGATTGCGGGGGTGCGCCCGCAGCGCCCAGCGAGGGCGGCGCCGCCGCCTCTTTCAGCCGGCGGGGGCGTCGGGTGCTTTTTGAGCCCCGGCCGCGGCGGCCACCCACCACAGGGACCTTGCCCTTGTTCTGCTCGAGGTAAGCGAGCCGCTCGGGGCGGGCGTCCTCAAAGGGCAGCTTCCACAGGTCGATGCCCGCCTCCTTGGCCAGCGTGTCGAGGCCGTTCTGGAGGGCGCGGGCGCGTGTATGTGTAGGTGTATGTGTATAAATGTGTGCATGTACATGTGTGTGTGTGTGTGTGTGTGTGTGTGTGCATGTTGAAACAATCTGGGTCCATCTACCGCCTCTGATTTTGGGCACCGTGCCGGCCCACCTGCGCAATGCAAGACCTTGCGCGCGGCCCGCGCGAGCCTGCGCCCCCCGAGTAACGACCCAGACGCACTGCACCGGCGCAGCCCCCTCAGGACGCGGCTGCCGGTCCCCGACTCCATCCTCCTGGCCCCAGCCCTCTATGTTCTTCTGACTCAACAGTGCCCCCCCACCTTCTCGATGGTCTTGATGGCCTTGGTGCTGATCCTGAGCTTGACCCACCGCTGCCCCTGCTCCCAGAAGATCTTCTTCAGCTGCAGGTTGGGCTCCTGCCACTTGCGGTTGTGCTTGTTGGAGAAGGTCACCACGTTGGCCTTGTTGCGCTTCTTGCCTGCATATGTGCGAGAAGGGCGCAGGGGCGTTGGGACGCGGACGGCACGTGGCCGGCACATTTTTGCGCTGGGGCCTGTGACCCTGTGAGCTGGAGCCGACAGTCGCGCCGCGCTGGTACTGGCTGCAGAAACGGCGGGCTGCCGGTGCAGCAGAGGCTGCTAGTGGCTGGCTGCTGCTGCCACGGGCTGCGGCTTGTGCTGCGTCGCGCTGCTGCTGCCGCCGCCGCCGCCGGCGCTGCAGCTGTCGCCGCAGAGGGCTCGCTTATCCACCCACGAGCACCAGCCACACATGCTGCACACTGCCCCGTCAAGCTGTGCCTCAGAAGCAACACAGCCGTCGCAAGCATGCCAGCAGTTCTCGCCCAGCGAAGTGGGTCGTCATGTTGGCAGCAGACGGCTCACTGCTGCAGCTGCAGCCGCTGGCGCAGCCCATGCCGATAACCAGCGCCGCTGCTCTGATGCAGCACACATTAGGTGCTGGACCCCCCGCTCAATCATGGTCGCATGGGGAAAAATACGACGGCTCACCAGTCAGCTGGCACACGCGCTTGGCCTCCACCGTCACCACGGGACGAGCTGCCGCCTTGCCCACTGCAGCAGGCCGGAACGCAATGCGGCTGCCGCTGAATGTGCTGCCCAGCGCGCTCATTGTGGACGCCATGATCCTGAAATGTCAAAGGGCGCGAGCGTGGGCGATACGGGCGCGTTGAGGCAAAGAGTGCACCACGGCCGCATGCGAGGAGCTCCACCTCGAATGCCTTCGGCTCGTATACAAGGCCCTGAATCGAGCGCATTCAATGCAGCAAATCTCCGCGCCGCGAGTCAGGCGTCTTGCAAGCAGTCCTTGGCGACTGCTGGCTCGCGGCGAGCTGCCACATCCAGGGCAAGGGCCGCATCAGCACCACGTCAGGTGCAAAAGTGCCTCCGGATGGTGATATTGCCAATGGGCGTGGCCACACTGCACCACTGCTATGCCCAGCGATGCACACTGCTCCTGCCATGCCATGCCCACCTCTGCTTGCCGGCCACGGCTATCTAGACGTCACACACAAATAATCCAGTCTTTTCGCTGGCTGAATGCTCTGAGTTTGTATACAAACGGTGTGGCTGCCTGGCTTTCATGCGTGCACACTGCACAGTCAGTTCATGTGGGGCTTGGTGTGAGCCCTGCGCATCACTTTCTCAAACTGCGTTGTAGTTTGAGATTTGTTCTCGTTCATTCAGGGACCAGATGATCTGGTCACCGTCTCCGAGTCCAGTCCAGCCACAGCAGGATGGAGGAACAACCACTGGCGGGTGTGTAGAATCGGCACGAATTCTTGAAGCTCCTGTATAAGCCTCCAAGGGCCGAGCCGCCGCGTGACCCTCGCTCCATTGTGTCGCTGTACCCACCGCCTCCGCCGCCATGATCTGTTCGGCCCGCTCTCACAGGTCCCGGCCCCGGAAGCAAGAGGCAGCAAGTACAGCATCAAGATGAAGGCGATGCGTCGGATTTCAAGAGGTTCTGCAGGGCGTGGGCATGGAAGCGGGAGCACCGCCCCGACAAGGAGCGATTCCACAGGCCATACAGCCACACCATAGCACTGCCCACGGCACAGCAGCAGCAGCAGCAGCAGCAGCAGCAGCAGCAGCAGCAGCAGCAGGTGCAGGTGACTTGCACTCTCGTAATCAAGCAGTGCAAGTTTGGCCCCGAAGGCTTCGCGTCCACGTGGGTGTCTCTGTTTGTGGCCCCACCGCGTGCTTGACCAGACCTTGCATGTCTCTCAACCGGTGTACAAGGGGGAAGCATCCTCCCGCAACAAACGAGGCAGCAGAACAGAGCGCCGTGCCGCACCGTCCTCCCCTTTGCATCGCCACTGCTCACGACAACCCTTCGCCATCACTCTTGCGTGCACCCGCCATCTCCCACCTGGCGTCACCCCTGCCCACACCCCGCCCCACCTCCCAGTGTTTGGGACTCGGCCATCGTCCTTAGCAAGTGGGCGGAGCGGTGGGCGCGGCTGGTGGACGGGCGGCGCTGCCTTGACCTGAGCGCAGGCTGCGGCCTCGTAGGTGGGCTGGGGGGCTGCGGCGCCGCCACGGCCGCGGGCATCGGCCTGCATGGTTGGAGCCGTCGCGCTCGAATGGATGCTCGCGCGCTTGGCCGGCTCGCCGCATCGCTGGCAATCATAACCTGCGGAAGATGGACCAAGCGGGGGCAGCGTCAGCGGCAGGCTCGCACCACCGGCGATCCGTCTCAAATGGTGTGATCCAAATGGCCCTGTGGGCCACCTGTAAATTGTGTTAACTCGAGCCCCCGCGCCCCGCCGCCCGCACAGCTCCAGCCTGCCGACGGCACTGCAACCCTATCTGCGCCAAGCCCGCCCCCTTACTCGTTGCCACGCCCTTTGACTTTGCTCGGCCTCGAAATTCGTGTGTTTGTGTGTGCGCACATGCGCAGCCGTCGTCCTGGCGAAGCTGGGGGCGCATGTGGTGGCTACAGACCTGGCGCCCAACCTGCGGCTGCTGAGAGACAACTGCGAGGCCAACGGTGGGCCGGGGGCGGTTCGATTGGTCCTTCTGAATTGGCACTGCCCAGTGCACGGGGCGCGCCGCGGGAGCGAGCCAAAGGGCCCATGCAAGCCACAATGTAAAGCACAGAACTCCTGTTCCATGTGCTGCCTCTGCACCCAAGGCGTGTGGCCAGCTCAGCCTGTAGGTGAACTTCCACAATGCGGAACTTCCACAATGTGGAAGCTGACACTGTGGGTACAACCGACCATGGAAGGACCTTGCCAACCCTCCATTACCCTTGACCGCCCCGCACCCACCCCCTGTTGCCCCTGCATACGCGTCGCATCAACAGCGCCAGGCGCCGTGACGGTGCTGGAGCACCGTTGGGGGGAGGACGTGGCTGCCCTAGGGCCGCCCTTTGACTTTGTTTTTGGGTGCGATCTCATGTACTTGGAGGATGCCATTCCCGACCTGGTCTCGACCTTGAAGGCAGTCGCAGCTTCGTGGCAGCTTCCGCCCGCGCGCGGTGCAGCCGGCGGCGCCGCAGGGGCTGGCAGCCCGGGCGTTGATAGAGATGGGCGCGCGGGCAACGGCGCTGCCGGCGGTGCGCTTGCGGGAGAGGCGGCCAGCTGCAGCCGGAGTGGCAGGGGCACGCAGATTATGATCGCCCACGGGCGGAATCGGGGTGCAGAGGCAGAGTTCCTTCGGCGCTGCCGAGGAGTGTTCGACGTTGCGCGCGTGCCAGGCTCAGAGCTGGACCCCCTGTATCAGTGCAGTGACGTGGACGTGCTGAGGCTTACGCTGGCGGGCGGGGGCGCTGAATGAGGGCTGCGGGGGATGGGGGCTGATGGCCGCAGTGGCGGACACTGGCTGAGCGTGTGTGCGTGCGTGCGTGTGTGTGTGTGTGTGTG